TTTGGCTGGCAAAATATTTTTGTCCTTTTTTTCCATTCCCACTCCCTGTAGTATCACAGTAATCATTACTAATCTGGTCTTTATAAAGATTGTTTTTAGACAACCTTTTTTTTTTCCTTTTAATGTTTGTTTATTTTTGAGCGAGAGAGTGGGAGGAGGAGCAGAGAGAAAGAGAGGGACAGAGGATTCGAAGTGGGCTCAGTGCTGACAGCAGAGAGCGCGATGCAGGGCTCCAACTCAGAACCATGAGATCATGACCTGAACCGAAGTCAGGTGCTTAACTGACTGAGCCACCCAGGTGGCCCTGGTCCTTGGAAGGATTGGAGCTGTGGACCTTAGAATGAAGTGGGAAGATGGCCACGCGGATAATGAGGTCACAGTATGACAATTGCCGCCGTAGCCCCATGTGCCAGTGGCAAGGAGACTTCAGGAAGCCAGCTCCTTAGTTGAAGAAGTGAAGAGTTGCACCATGGTGTGTGGGAGAGAACTGGGAAGAGTGCAGGTCACAGGATTGGGCTTCTTTGGACCTCCCGCTGTGCTGTCCATGAGGGAGTGTGTCCGGGCTGTGCTCCAGAGCGCCTCCCAGACCCGCTCCTCCCTCTCAACCCCCAGGAGCATCCCTGCTTCTGCTTCTCTGCAGGTTGGGCTTCTCTGAAAGATTTTGTTTGAGCGGTGGTTTCTTTAGCTAAAAAAAAGTTTTAAAATCCCTAAACTAGATTACCTCCAAAATCCTGGCATGCAAACATCCAGTGATTGCTTCTAATACTGCATGCCTGGCCACTGCTAATGTGCTCAGGGAAATAAGAAAGGCAGCAGCAGAAACTTCTTGTCGGGTAGAAATGCCATTTGCCCTACAAAAGGTCATTTGATTGAGATGAGGGTCACAGAGAAGGTCAGGTATGATTTGGGTTAGAACCCCAAGAGTTCTGTAAACACTATTTGTTTCCACAGTGGTCTCGTTTGGCAAAGCCTTAATTGCTTCCTTAAAAACCCTTTTTTTTTTTTGGAGGATTTCTGAAGGGCTTCAGAGAGTCCCACACTTTATGTTATCTGGACCTCTGTGTTTCTTTACATTTCCTCCACGCTGCCCGCACTGTGTAGGATATGTATGTAAAATATGTAATATGTATATTTATGTAAAGTATATTTATGTACATAAATGTTGAGGGCATCTTTCCTTGCGTATTGCTTGTTCCATCTTTTCTCACTCTTCCTTTGTTTATGACACAACCCGGGTGTTCTGTCAATACTCATGATCTCAGGGAGCTGCAGGAACTTTTCACATACCGCTTGCCAGGGATCAGGCCCAGCCCACAGAAGGAGAAGGAAACAGTAGGAGAGAGACTGTATGGATGGCTGTTTAGCCCTCAGTGGGTATGACCTTGCAAATCACTTCATTCCTTTGAGCCTTAGTTTCCTCCTATACAATAGAGATCATAATACCTCCCAGAGATGATTGTTTTGATGTTTAAAGGGTATAATAAGAATGTAAAGTGTTTTACTTGGTGTTTAGCCTACAGTAGACACTTAATGAGTTAGAATCCCTCTCTTCTTTTTGTTTTAATGTCCCTTTCCTCCTTGGGAATTTGTCTCCCTCCCTCCCTCTCTCTCCACTTTCCCACAGCTATTTATCAAACTCCTCCTGACGTTATGCGAGGCATTGCTCATGGTGCCATGGATACAGCCGTGAAGTAAAACAATGTACCTGTTGTCACGGGGCACACATTCTGTTACTTCCTCCTCACTGAGGTGCAGTAACCATCCGGGACTAGAGTAGAGAGTATGTAAAGCACTCTTCCAACCCAATGCTAAAAAGACAACCCAGTTAAAAAGTGGGCAAAGTATTTGGCTATTTCTGTTCAAATATGAACAGCCAATAAACACATGAAAAGATGCTTAACATCATTAGTCACCAGAGAAATAGAAACCAGAAGCACAGTGAGAAAAGACATCACACCCAGTAGGATAACTATAAAACACAGATGGTAACAAGTTGCTAAGGATTTGGAGAAATTAGAATCCTTCTACATTGTTAATGGGAATGTCAACTGGTACAGCCAATTTGGAAAACAGTCTGGCATTTCCTTAAAATGTTATGCATGAGTTACCATATGACCTGACAATTCTGGATATCTAGCCAAGAGAAATGAAGACATGCATCCGTATAAAAACTTGTATATGAATTTTCATAGCAGCATTGTTCCTAATAACCGAGAAATGGAAACAACAACCCAACCCAAGTGTCCATTAGCTGATGAATGGACAAAATGTGGTCTATCCATAAAATGGAATATGATTTGGCAGTAAAAAGGAGTGGGGTGCTAACACATGCTACGGCATGGATGAATCTTGAAAACATGCTAAGTAGAAGAAGCCAGTTACAAAAGACTGTATGTTGTATGATCTCATTTATATTAAATGTCCTAGGGGCGGCTGGGGGACTCAGTTGGTTAAGTATCTGACTCTTGATTTCGGCTCAGGTCATGATCTCATGGTCGTGTGATCTAGCCCTGCGTCGGACTCTGTGCTGAGTGTGGAGCCTGCTTCAGATTCTCTCCCTCTGCCCCTCTCCTGCTCTCTGTCTTTGTCTCTCTCTGTCTCAAATTAAAAAAAAAAAAAATTGTCCTAAGCCGGCAAATATGTAGAGACAGATTAGTGGTTGCCTGGAAGTGGGAGAGCTGGAGATGAGTGATGGGGAATGCTGCTGGGTCTGGGGTTTCTTTCTGTGATGATGAGAATGTTTAAAATTATGGTGATAGTTGAACAATTGTGATAGTTGAACAATGGTGATAGTACGTATGTGTGTATATACGTACATGTATATTTTTTTAAGTAAAATCTGTTTTAGATTATATACATGTATGTATGCATATCTGCATACAAATATATGTATATAATCTAAACCACGGATTTTTTAAATTTACATATATATATATTTAAGTACACTCTGTGCCCCACATAGGGCTGGAATTCATGACCCTGGGATTAAGGGTCACACACTCCACTGACTCAGCCAGCCAGGTACCCTGCACAGTTCTAAATACAGTAAAACTTTGTTTTGCAAGTATAATTTTTCCGGAAACATGGTTGTAATCCAAAGCACTTGTGTATCAAAGTGAATTTCTCCATAAGAAATCACAGAAACTCCGATGGTTCCATAACCCCAACATATTTGTATAAAAATGATACAATACTGTAATATATGACAAAATAATAAAGAAAATACAAAATATAAAGAAAAATAAAGTATCCTGCACTTACCTTTGAAAACCTTTGTGGCTGGTATGAAGGAGATGAGGGAAAGGAGGGATATTGTGTAGGATGACTTTCACTATCACTAATGGAATCACTGCTATCTGTTGGCCCAATGGAATCTTTTTCTGTGTGGGGGCCATTGCATACGCTCGCACATATGTTGACCACAGTACAGTATTAATAAATCTTTATCATGTACTGTATTCAACATAACTGGCAATAAGGCAGCAGAGGAAAGTATCTATATCTGCAGACAGCCTGACCTAGAATGAGGCAAAGCATCCCTAAACTTCCTCTTGTATGGAAAAGCAAGGGACTGCCCACAGGCACTTTGAAGTGACAAAAAATACACTAGTGCCAGTTGTGGGCACCTTCCAATTGATTCCTGCCAAACACCGCAGCCTGAGACCGAGCATCCGAACATGGGAGACGACCGCCCACAATCCCACAGCAGGTGAGCAAAAGAGAGAGGGCTGTTGGCTCAGTTGTGATCATGTGATGTTCTGCATCACGTACTACTTATATTGCAAGACATCGTTTGTTTATCAAGTTAAAATTTCTTAGAAATGTTTGCTTGTCTTGCGGAACACTTGCAGAACAAATTACTTGCAATCCAGTGTGTTTTACTGTATACGAAAAACCATCGAATTGTACGTTTAATAAAAAGTGTTTATTTTGAGAGAGAGAGTGTGAGCTGGGGGAGGGGTGAAGACAGAACCCCAAGCAGGCTCCACAGTGTCAGCGCAGAGCCGGACGCAAGGCCTGGACCCACGAACCGTGAGCTCATGACCTGATCCGAAAACAAGAGTCAGGCACTTAACTGAGCCGCCCAGGCGCTCCTTGAGCTGTACATTTTGAACAGGTGACGCTTATGGTATGTAGATGATAGCCCAGTCTGACTGTTAGGAAGGGGCCGTGCCACGGGTTCTTTCTCCTGAACACGTGAACGTGCTCTGGCTTCGTCCTGGAACAAAACACGACAAAATGCCATCGACTCCTGGAGCCCCCGTGCTGCCACTGTCCCGTGGCTTTTTCTCTTTCCTTCACAGCTAAGACTCCTAAAAGGTTAGAAAAGAAGTAATTAAGAAACCGTTCATTCCAGAGGACTTCAAAATTAATGGATAAGCAGAAACAGGAAAATTTTTGGACATTTCATCTCACCCCCCCCGAGATAATTATTATTAATCTTTTATTTAATTTTAGCATTAGAAAAGTTGACACCTCGTGTTTTTTATTTTCAAAGAGAAGTACTATTTTAAGGAAAGGTTTATAAGTTACCTTGCTAAGAGCAGAATATTTTTTAAAGAAAAATACCATCATCTCCTGTAATAATATTAAGCACGGCGGGCTTCTGTGCATGATTTGATTTTTAAACTTTTTGGAATTGTCTGAATCAAATGTGAGGTCATTAAAACCCAGTGCTTTGGAAGCATTCCTGCTCACAGAAGTGTGGATGGAATCTGTAAAGCCTTGCTGCTTTCTTAAGCCACGCTTGTTATGTGGCTCTTGCTGAAGCCACAGCCTGCTGTCCCAGGAGAATTTCAGTCTTCCCCATTTCAGAGTGTGTTAAAGCCCCGCACCCTGGGAAGTGAACATTTCATGGATTCCCTTCGGCTTTTGAGGACTGTTCACAGAGCCTGGCTGACACTGGCCATGAATGAGGATGTCAGCTGGTAAGATGGAGTTCCTGCTTGAGAAACCCCCCTGAGCTAATTTCATTGATCGGTTTTCTTTTGCCCATGCAGAATTGGACTGGCTGAACAACCCAAGCTTCTGCGCTGGAGCCGCAGCCTCTCTGAGCCGGCAGAGCGAAGCGGCCTCGGCCCTGCTCTCCGAGGGGTCACCGCTGACCAGGTAGGTTTTTACAAAAGACAGTTTTCAGTTTTTGTCAATGTCCTGTATGTAGCTTGGTTTGAATAATGCTCCCCAGGGAACCCCATGGGAGAAGAGCGAATTAGAACTCTTTTCACGGAAAGCAGTGAGGTGCTCTTTGACTGGTTTTCCGTGCCTCTTTCCCAAAGTCTTTCTTTTTTCTACCTTTGCATTCCAGCAGCAAGTGGAATGCAAGTGACAGCAAGTGACACAGTTCCTGCCAGTAATTAGGCCACAAGGGAAATGGCATCACTGTGACTCTTAAGTAACTCAACTAACCTCATTGGGAACCTTTAGAATATTGTCACTTGAATATTTCTTCAGTTGCTTTTTCAGTGTTTTTGGAAAAACAAAAGATGCTGGTGTGCTAGAACATAGGGTAAAATCTCCTGAAAACTTTGGGGAAAGCAGAGTGGCACCTATCTGGATGAAGCTTTGAAAGAAGCTGTGGTACATCATTGAATTGAGAAATGAGCTCCCTTGTGAATATGGACAAGATGGTCTCATTAATTAAGATGATGAGCCCTGGGAAGTCAGGTCTCTAAAAGTACGAGAAGCCTTTGGAAACTGAGAATAGTTGATGTGTGAGAGAGCTGTTTATAAGTGTGTAAGTGATGTGGAAGAGCTCATTGTAACATTTACACACAAGGGCCAGAATGAAACCTTTTCTTGGCATTAAGTGATTAAGTTTTGGGGGTATGGTGGGGTGGTCCAGAGCTCACGGCCAAGAGCAAATTCTTAAAAGACCTCTTTGGTGCAAAAAAGTGATTTTATTAAAGCACAGGGATGGGACCTGTGGGCAGGAAGAGCTGCACTGGGGTCATGACGGGTAACTGATTACATACCCTCAGGTTGGGAGGGGGTCAGGGATGGAGTAAATCTCTAAGGAATTTTGGAAACAAGGTTTTCAGGACCTTGAGGGGCTAGCTGTTGCTAGGGAAACGCCACTTATTACCGTTTAATAAAACCTCAGTCATGAGACCCTTAGGATGCATATTGGGAGCCATACGATTGCTTGGAGTATGATTGCCAGCCTCTATGCTGGGGCAGGTGAGACAAAGGAAGTTGACTTACAGGATCCTCAAGGTTGGGATAACGTTAGGCTAAGGTTCCCTTTTGCCCCCAGCAAAGTGCCACCCTTGAGCCAGCTGAGCTGCTAGAGGGAAGTCACTCTGCAGGTTTCAAGGTCTTGTCAGTGGGGTTGTAGGTGGTAAAGGAATTTAATTTTCCATCTGCCTTAGTTTCCCACATCACTGTGGCAAGCACTTAAACCCCTTTCTTTGTTCTTGGGGAGTCAAGATTGTCCGAGGAATATCACACATTGCACCTGCCGGGGGGGGGGGGAAGTGCCAGCCTGTATTTTGCCCTCAGCTTGCCCCGCCCTCCCTCATCATTAAGGACATATTGCTTTAATATGTAGGACTGAAAATAAACCTTTTATAATGTTACTTTAAAAAATACTATATTTGATTAAATGACTGGTAGATTACTTTCCTTTAAAAATGGATGGATGTGGGGCACTTGGGTGGCTCAGTTGGTTGAGCGTCCAGCTTTGGCCCAAGTCATGATATAGCGGATCATGAGTTGGAGCCCTACATTGGGCTCTCTGCTGTCAGGGTGAAGCCCGCTTCGGATCCCCTGTCCCTCCCTCCGCCCGTCCCCTGCTCACACCCTCTCTCTCAAAAATAAACACACATTTAAAAAAAAATGAATAGATGGAATTAGGCAAGATGGCGGAGAAGTAGGGAGCTCCGTACTTGCACTCGCGCCCATGCCTCACACGCAAAAGACCTGAAGCCATAGGAAACCGTACAAAACCCAAGAGATTGGGAGAAAAAGGACGCAGAATCCACTGAGAAAGCCTTCTAACGCGAGTGCGAACTGGGGAAGATAAAATCGGGCCTGGATCGGGGACTGGAGGGACGGGGCGATCCCCCTCTGCGGGGAGTGAGAGGGGAAAATGAGAGTCCGAAACAGAAAAACCTCCGCTCGGGGTGTAGAAAGACCTTGCGCACGAAATACCTGCGCACCAGGGCCCCCCCCCGCCCCCCCCCC